TCTATATATATATGTAATATTTTTATGTAATATTTTTTACCCTAAATACATATACCTTCCTTTCTCTTTTGACAGCATCTTTTCTCTTATAAAATTTCAGGTAATGTTATACTTTTTATGATTGAATTTTTTAAATAATTTAGCAATAATTATGTCAAAAATTTTAATATTTTAATTTAAATTAATTTACCGATTTAAGATTCATAAATATATGAAAATGTTTCTTCATTACCACAAAACAATCACTAGTTTATAATTATTGTGTACCGCAAACAGTTTTTCACCAATCGAATTTTATTTTGTACCGCTTATTTTGTATTAACCGCACTTGTCCCGCAAATATGGCCTTGAATGAAGACATTAAAAAATGCGGATTTCAATAACGTTTTTCCAAAAACGTTTTATGTCACCAATCATATGAGTTCCATATAATTTGCGTTTTCCAAAAAAAGAAGAAAAATATTGCTTACGTTTTTTAAGATAGGGTATTACACTATGGAACGCATATACCTACAACAACTTCAAATTACTTAGTGGTTTTCTCAAATTCCGCACTGAAAAGCAAAATAGTGTTATTTTATTTATTTATTTGAGATTAATAAAGGAGTTTAATAACAACTACATATTTTAACAAATAATATACTTTACTAAAAAAATGTTTTTAATTTAAGTTGTTAATAATTTTCATAAATGATTACTTTTTAGTTTTTAAACATGCCATTTTTGAAAAACAAATTCACTTATGATATATTTTTTACATTTAAAATATATTTTCACGATTTTAATGAATAAAATCAGCTTAATTAATTCTAAATAGATTTTGTTTTTTAAAGTTCATAAGTAAGTAGATGAAAATATCATTTCAATAACAATAAATAAACAATTTAAATTTATAATTATATTATTAGTTATAAATTATATATGTATCCCGCAAATTAGTTTTTCACCAATCAAACATTATTCCGCACCGCTTATTTTGTATAAACCGCACTTGTCCCGCAAATACTTTTCTTCCGCACGTACCGCAGTTGAACCGTACCGCACTATAATACCGCTTTCTCCGCACAGCAAAAAACGTTGTTACCATTCGGACCCTAAAACTTATAAAATGCCTTTGAATTTGAATAAATCATTTTAGGAAACAAAAAAGATAACTCATGTTTTGTAATGTCTATGGAAAAAAGCTGAAAACTCTCTCGGGCACTAACATCGAGGCGCTTCCCATGACCATCTATTCCGGCGCCGGTGAAGCTTATGCTTGCCGGCGTCGGGAGATCTCCTCCTCTTGCTTTTGCTGCGTTTTAATTCTATTTTGCTTTTTTTTTGTTTTTGGCCGTTTTCTCAATCTTCCCAAATCTTCAACCTTTTGTCCATTTTCCACGGTGCTTCAATCCTTAGAGACAGAGAAAGGAAGAGTCCTCTAGTGACACTCCTCCTGCTTTTCCCTCTACTCTCAACATCTATTTCAAAGTCGACAAAAGAAGATTCTTCTAGATCCAGTGGTGTATTACTTAACAAAGCTGAGTTTCGCTTCTTCGCGATGCCCTTTTACTCTAGATCTGGATCTACACCATCTCCTCCAGAAGCTTATTCTCTCCGGAATTCGTCCATGGCAAGAGCTCCACCTCCCCATGCGCATCATTTGGATCCTCCATGGCTTAGTTCCGAGCTATCGGTTTGCTTCTGGTGGCTGGAGGCCCTTGGACCGTCGGTGCCTGCGTTTTCTCCGGTAAAAACAGTGATGGCACATGGCAAAACCCTAATTTTGCTGGAGGTTCCTTTTAATGGACTCGACCCACATAATCAACAACAACAGCAGGGCCCAACGTTTACTCTATTATTGTCCATCTTGAAGAGTTGCGGTCCAACAATAAGAGTCTTGAAGCCCACCTACAAGGTTATTAGCAAAGCCCATCTTCCTTTTGTCCACAACCTAAATGGCGGCCCAACTCCTTTAACTGCTCAACCCAGGCCCAACTGTCTTATTCTTGTGGCCTGGAAAATTATAAGGCAACGTCCCTTTCCATATTTGCCCAGGTTTGATCTAAACTCTCTTTTGTCCTTTCTTAGCCACACTTTGTGTCGTTTTATGGATACAATTGATCGAGGACGTCATTTGGAACATAATTCACCATTGTTGCTAGTTTGGTACAAATGTTTTTTGGGAACCCTGCCCTTAAAATCACCTAGGGCAGTGGCGGATCCAAGGCAAAAAGTTATATGGGGCACCATGGAAGAAAATAACAAAACCTTTAGAAAGAAAACAAAATTGGGAAAAAAATTGTAGCTAAGGGGCATCGAACCCTTCTCCTAAGATACTATGTGGGGCACTTTTAACCAACTGAGCTAAGAGATTTTCTAACAACACTAATCATTTGAATAATATTTATCAATGAGTATAGGGCACGTGCCTCACCTCATTACAATGTGGATCCGCCCCTGACCTAGGGATATTTTCCATGAATTCAATAGATTGAAGAAGAACGGCATTATGGCCCCGTCTCCAAGGAGCAGTGGTTACCGAAGCTTCTTCAATCCGTTTTCCCCATTTCCTCTGAATACTGATTTCAAACAAGTGCATTTAATCAACAGTAAGGCTATTATTCATGAAATTGAAAAAGTACAAGAAGGGGTGATTCAAAAGAAACAACTTTAATGGGCCCAGGATCCAATAAACCAATTGGGTTTATTCCTAGAATTTTCTCCTCCTCGTGTTGTCTTCCAATTTGGTATACAAAGACAAATTTAAACCTTCTCGGCGAAGAAGAAGAAGAAGAAGAGAAAATGGCGATTTGCATGTGTTGCGACTCACATCTCGTATCATCGAAATCGACTATGAATCCATGGAATTCGCCAAAACGAACGAAGCTAGGTTTTGTATTAGTCGGTCGCCGCTTTCCGGCTACTACTATTGTCAAAGCTTCGGCGGTGGATTCACCTGAGAGTTCTTCCAATTTCGCTAAGCGTATGGATCAAGCTTGGATTATCTCACAGGTTCGTATCTCCCGAGATTTGTATAGTATTGCTCCCACTTGTTGCTACTTTGGTATGTATGATTTTGTTGGATCTGATTAATCCACAAGAACTGATCCTTCATGCTTATTACTTGCCTCGTATGGATTTGTATTAGATTAAGAGGTAAATAGTATCAGCAAGTTCTGAAGATCTTGTATTGAGCTGTTCAATATCGAAAATCTGTAATTGCTAAGTACCTTTGGGATATTTTACCAAATATTTTGGGCACAATTCATTTGATTTGTGACATATAAAGATAACACTTTAGCTGCTTCCTAAGCAAACTAATCTCGCAACGCGATGTAGTTTCCTAGTCTTGCTTGTACAATTGTTGGATTATCTACTTATAATATTTCTCTCAAAGAAACCTTTCTTCTTGAATTTTCAGTTTCGTCAAGGTTTAAGATTGAACAAATCGGTCCTGTATTTTTCTAGATGTTAGTTGACGTGTGGTTCGATTCAATGATTTTCTTTTGTCAGCAACCAAGTCCTGTTGGATGTTCATCGTGCAATTCAAAGGGTCATGTTGAATGTAAATGGTGTGCGGGTACAGGATTCTTCATCCTCGGTGATAACATGCTTTGCCAGGTACCCTCAAGGAATACTTCTTGCGTCATCTGCTCTGGACAGGTTTGTAATCCAATAAAACATAATTGCAGACACATTTTTATTGTGTCTTCTGGTTTATATTTCTTCACATTCGGTTTTCTTTTCAATGGGTTTAGGGTTCTGCTAGCTGTAGCGATTGCAAAGGAACGGGGTTTCGTGCCAAGTGGTTGGAAAAACCTCCAGTGCCAACATAACTGATGAACAAAAGCAAGTTAAGTTTTTTGGTCTTTGATGATTTCTTATGGAGCCAAATATGTTTATATTGATTCAAGTGGAATATGAATTATACATGTATTATGTATATATGTGTCAATGTATGTTCATGTATTCATTTCCCACTGTTCTGTTTGTACAACCAAAGGCTACTCAAGAGTTCTTGTAATCAACACACGTGAGTTTTACGATTTCGATCATTAGAGTAGCTCAACGGAAGAACATTAGTAGCACCGGATCGCCTTCGTATATCTTTTGATCTTTTCATGTGGTAGGGTTAAATCATGTGCATCTTCCTTACACTCGTTAAATCTGGGTGTGGTGTTTCTGTAATAGAACTGCGATCATCGTCATTCTTAAAACAATTTCTACCTAACAAATCCAATCTAAGCTAGTTAGTTTAGAAACTGTTTTTTGATTAGTCTTCTTTCGGGAAACCATGTAAATGGGCATTTGATGTCATAATCGTAAATAAGAGATTCTTTAAATGTTACACAATTAGATGCATTTTTTCTTTCTCTGATCCAATTTTTCTATATCATTTTGTGTTATATATCTTTGTATAACATGAAACGTAACGTAACTAAATTTAGTTTTCAAGGAGTATAAAAACAATTGTAGTAACTTATGCATTATTCTTTATTAATCTTTTGTTACTACAGTAATGGATGGAAAACCTTCTTTTAAATAGTACAAGATTGAGATCAACATGGGGATATTCTAGATGCTTGATATAATCGAAATATCGAATACACCAATTCAGAAAATAAAATATTGTTTCTAGTTCTCATAATGATGTTCTCGGAAGCCAAACAAAAAAAGATCCTTGCCAAGATCTCCTCTCTAATTATATTGTAAATGGGGTATTATGTGAGCAATGTCATTGACGAAGCACGCATAACCATTTGACTCTTTGATTACGATCTAGGGAACATTAAACCATAGTTAAATGTTTAATTTCGAGTGTTTCGATTGGACAAGTTGAATTTGATAGTTCCTATTGGGACTAATTTGTGTTTTTTTTAACCTTTTTTAGATTGTGATATATATACCTTTTAATCTCTTGAATAAAAGCGAAATAACATTAATGAAAATACATATTTGGTCAGTTTTTTTTTTGATAAACCCTATTATATTTGGGGAATTATTGCATATTTAGACACTTTCCTCAACTTATTTGTGCCTTTAGACACTTTCAAGGGAGAAGGCACTTTGTGTGGACAATTTGACCAATTTACCCTTTTAACTACGTCTCTCTCGTTACAATCTCTTTGTCTCTCTCCTTCTCCTATCTCTTCTCTCACCTTATCGACAAAATCAAGCGGAGAAAAAAATAACCTTTCCATGATTTTACTCTCTCTCTCTTTTACCATCATCAGTCCATATACCAATTTGGTTCTACTCAAAAAAATTCTAGGATTTTGTTGGAATCTAAGATTCAGATTTTGCTGCAAAATTAATTTGAATCCTTGTCTCTGGGATTGCTTCATTAGTCAAGTTTCGGCTATGGCGGAGTAGAAAACGGCGGACATGTGAATGACGAAGCGAGTACTCGTCGGAGGACGAATGTACGAAGGATTATAAAAAGTTTTTCAGTAACGAGATCGATTTGTTTCCGCCGGAGTTGGGAATTTGTTGAATTTGGAGTATCTTGAGGTGAAGATATCGTCACCGGGTTTTGGCGATGGCTTGTCGTTGGAAAAGCTCAATCCTCTCTAAGAGATTCATCACTCTCGAATCCGAAGAAGCTTCCTCCGTCGCGAAATCAATCGAAGACGAAGCATACGCCGTCGCTTCCGCCGCCGTGATTAGTGACGACGACGAGATCGAGATTCTTAAAACTTATTCTAAAGAGATTAGTAAACGTATGCTTGAATCTGTGAAAGCTAAGACGAATGTGGCTTCTCCTCCACCAAAAGATGGTGGAATTGAATTAGCTGCAGATTCGAGGTTGATTCAAGTGAAGATGTTAAAGAAGATGATGCGAATCCAAAGCTTGACGAGGCTTGAACATGGTGTTGTTCTCTTATCTCTAATTATATTTTAAAAGACTATTTTCTTTGTTCAGATTCGTATGAGATTATCTTTGTAGTGTGACTTGTTGATTTAATTGCATTTCTTAGAAATATGATTAATGTGTGTTCGCTTTGGTTTTGAGTCTTTTGATGTTGGATTCTGGATGATTGTGCTTTTTCTTAATCATAGTAATTAACCATACAGTTACATCCACATGGTCAATACATTATCATACTATACTATGAAAACTCTACAATAGAACTTTGGCTACGTGGTGGCTAGAAAGCGGTGAAAAACTATGTTGATATTGTCCTGTATAAACATTGAGCTTTATGATGGTGCTAAGACTTTAATCGAGTTGGGCTCCAATGTTAATGTTCATCGTATTGCTAAAAATTGACAAATGAAGATTATGTATGAAATTAGGTATGGGAGTTTTTGCAAAGATTGTGATCATGAATTTTTTATAAAAACGAAAAAATATTTCTTATACCAACGAAAAAATAAGAAACAGAAAGTAAGATCATGAAACACTAAAATGTAAGATTAAGAAATAGTTAACCGGGCCTTGTGGCCTAGTGGTAAAGGGGTCACAGCTGTGACTTCCGCCACCGGGATTCAAGGCACGGCCACTGGCAGGTTTACATAGGGGAATTGCCAGCCTCGTGGGATTAGTCTTTGGGCCTAGGAAGCCTTTGGGAGACCCGCGGTTATTCAAAAAAAAAAAAAGATTAAGAAATAGTTGTCTGAATTATCAAACACTATAGGTGTAGTCCATGTGTAGTCCTGGTCTTCCATTATTAATTGTCCATTTATTGGACAACGTTATTGAAGTGTCCAATATTTTATCGATAATGTAAACAAGATTTTTTTTTTGTTTTGGTTTTAATGTGTAAACAACATTGTAGAACTTTTCATGCTTCTATCAGCTTTCTTCTTTGTCTTTCATGCTTGTACCGGAACAAAACCTCAAAACGTTTAACCATACAAACCTCATGTTTGACTAAATGGTATATAATGCAAACAAACTTATGTATTGACGATTATCGTTCATGTATAAATTTGTGTATTTGTATGAAAGTACCATGTGAGTTACTAAATGACCATTTGGAATTGATTGCTTGGACACTTATTAATATACAACTACTCGTCAAATTGGTGATTTTCATTTATGTTTAAAATTTTGTGTTGGTATGAAACGACCATTTGAGTCACAAGATAGCTATATGGATTACAACCGCTTGGACAAACATCAATGGACAACGCTGCCTTTGTTTATTGTTAATGTGTTTTATCGTTGGATATAAATATTGGTTAAAGAAAAAATGGACGGTGTACTTTTAATTGACGATTATCGTTCATATATAAATTTGTGTATTGATATGAAACGACTATGTGAGTTACTAGATGACCATTTGTACATGACTGCTTGGGCACTCATCAATGGACAGCTATGTCTTTAATTTGATGAGAATGTGTTTTATCGCTTGGTAAAATTCTCACTTTTTAATAGTTACAATATATTGTATGGTTTTGAGTATTGGTTTACGGTTTAAAATCTAGTTTATGTTTAAAGATTATGATTTTAGGATATAAGGTTGAGTGGAAAAGGGTTAGGTGTTAGATATTTAGGGTTTAGATTTGAAGTTTAGTATGTAGTTTTAAAAGAATTTCTAAATGTTTTAAAATGACAAAATGTTCTATAATAATCGGATGGCCTACTACGTATTTGAATTTATATTGTTGACGAAGTTAGATATCGATTTGGATTTAGTAGATAGGGGGTAGGGTTTAGTGTTATATATTTAAAAGAGTTAAATATCAGTTTGGGTTTAGTAGGTAGGGAGTAGGGTTTAGTGTTATATATTTAAAAGAAATTAAATATCAGTTTGGGTTTAATTTGTTGACGAAATTAGATTTCGGTTTGGGTTTAGTATGTAGGGGGTAGGGTTTAGTGTTATATATTTAAAAGAAGTTAAACATCGGTGTGAGTTTATATTGTTGACGAAGTTAGATATCAGTTTGGGTTTACTAGGTGTGGGGGATAGGGTTTAGTGTAATATATTTGAAAGAAGTTAAATATCGGTTTGGGTTTAGTAGGTAGGGGGTAGGGTTTAGTGTTATATATTTTTAAAAAAGTTAAATATCGGTTTGGGTTTAGTAGATAGGGATAGGGTTTAATGTTATATATTTAAAAGAAGTTAAATATCGGTTTTGTTTAGTAGGTAGGGGGTAGGGTGTCCACTTAAATTTAATAATTTTTGTTTTAAATTTATGGTTTAGGGTTTAAAGTTTCACTTACCCTTTGAAAATCAATCAAATGGTAAATTCAGTATTTTTGCTTCTTAATTATGTGCAAACAAACTTATGTATTGACGATTATCGTTCATGTATAAATTTGTGTATTTGTATGAAAGTACCATGTGAGTTACTAGATGACCATTTGGAATTGATTGCTTGGACACTCATTAATGGACAACTATGTATTTGATTTGATGAGAATGAGTTTTATCGCTTGGTAAAATTATCAATTTTGAGTGTAGGATCTAGAGTTTGAATTTAATGTTCAGGGGTTAGGGTTAAGGGTTTGAGATTATGATTTGGTGTTGAACGTTTAACCATACAGACCTCATGTTTGACTAAATCGTATATAATGATTGGAGTGTCTATATACAAGTCAACGAATGGTCAGTGAAAAAGTGAAAAATGGATGCTACTCGTCAAATTGGTGATTTTCATTTATGTTTAAAATTTTGTGTTGGTATGAAACGACCATTTGAGTCACAAGATAGCTATATGGATTACAACCGCTTGGACAAACATCAATGGACAACGCTGCCTTTGTTTATTGTTAATGTGTTTTATCGCTGGATATAAATATTTTACGAATAAGATATGGATCCATTTTATAATGATGGTAGTATCCATACACAAGTGAATATTGGTTAAAGAAAAATGAACGGTGTACTTTTAATTGACGATTATCGTTCATATATAAATTTGTGTATTGATATGAAACGACTATGTGAGTTACTAGATGACCATTTGTACATGACTGCTTGGGCACTCATCAATGGACAGCTATGTCTTTAATTTGATGAGAATGTGTTTTATCGCTTGGTAAAATTCTCACTTTTTAATAGTTACAATATATTGTATGGTTTTGAGTATTGGTTTACGGTTTAAAATCTAGTTTATGTTTAAAGATTATGATTTTAGGATATAAGGTTGAGTGGAAAAGGGTTAGGTGTTAGATGGTTAGGGTTTAGATTTGAAGTTTAGTGTGTAGTTTTAAAAAAATTTCTAAATGTTTTAAAATGACAAAATGTTCTATAATAATCGAATGGCCTAAAACGTATTTGAATTTATATTGTTGACGAAGTTAGATATCGATTTGGATTTAGTAGATAGGGGGTAGGGTTTAGTGTTATAAATTTAAAAGAGTTAAATATCAGTTTGGGTTTAGTAGGTAGGGAGTAGGGTTTAGTGTTATATATTTAAAAGAAATTAAATATCAGTTTGGGTTTAATTTGTTGACGAAGTTAGATTTCGGTTTGACTTTAGTATGTAGGGGGTAGGGTTTTGTGTTATATATTTAAAAGAAGTTAAACATCGGTGTGAGTTTATATTGTTGACGAAGTTAGATATCAGTTTGGGTTTACTAGGTGTAGGGGATACGGTTTAGTGTAATATATTTGAAAGAAGTTAAATATCGGTTTGG